TTTGCTTCAAATGAGAAAGCATCATAATTATCATGAATGTGCCATTACGGCCTAGTATTTAGATAAATCTAAGATGTATTTTATAATAAGTTAGAAAGTGTTAAGCTTAATTACTTCGGCCAAAATAGGTTGAATTTTAAGGATTTCTTTTCTGGTTGTGCTATACTATAAATGGCTAAAATGAGTTTACTTATTCAGGCCCGATGGCTAAATATGTCTTGAAGTCCGGTCTCTCCAAGGACAACGCCGATCGTATCGATTCAACTCGGTTTATGCAGACTCTCAGTGTTGACTCCCTGTTTGGTCTATCGACAAGGGAAAATCCCGGATTCAGAGTGACTCGATGTGGTTACACTGGCGAAGATGGTTTTGAGATCAGCCTGCCCGCCCCATTGGCGAGCGAATTGGCCGAGCGGATTCTGGTGGCAGGCGATGTCAGACTGATTGGTCTGGCAGCACGAGATACTTTGCGACTGGAGGCAGGCTTGTGTCTATACGGCAAAGAGTTGGACGAGCAGCTGACTCCGGTGGAGGCTGGGCTGACATGGACTATCGGTATGCAAGATAATCTGTTTAGACGAAATCTGTGTTGTCATTCTGGTCACTGGACGTGACAAGCATCATTCACTCACGTGCTAACTTTAATACTTTAACTAATTCGGTGAAATAATGGCAAATGTCGTGCAGTCCACACATGCCAAACAGACGACGAAAGCCTAAAAAAGCAAAGGATAAATCTCCATTGCAATTACTTTAACAGTCCTTTCCTCATTACAATTCCATTAATAGGCTCCGTCAGGAAAAAGATGATCTTTATATTATGCATGATTTTCAGGTACTCTATCAAATGGTATTTGGCAATGCTGACAATTTTTAACGCTCATAAACATTTGTCACTTGCAGTCTAATTAAATTATTTCATTCATTCCCCTAACCTTGATCAGGAAAGAGGCGAAGATCACCAAACAGCACAAACAAATTCCCCGGTTTTGAAAAGATTATCAGCCAAATAAACGGTTCCGGGTTGACTCGGCGACGGGTGGGTCTCATCCATTCCGGTGGCCCTTCGGCTCGTTGTAAGTTTTTTTATTTGATCTGTAACTGAATGGGATAATAAGTAACAGAATCATTGAAAATCTTTGTTTACTGCAGCCATGCATGTCCTTAAGCCCCAATATTCGCAATGTTGATGTTAAAACAGGATCAGGAGACCTGAATCAGGAATCATTTGAGCGATATGGAGAAAATTCGCCACTTGTTATGTCACTGGAGCCATGGATCTTCACAGGAGTCTCTAAGTAGGGCCAGCTTTTTTCTTCGCTGTGCACGATGCTTCATGATCACCAAGTACTTATTGTTTTGGAAGCTCTACTTTTCACATTATTTCTTCATAGGCCTTCATATATTGCCTTGGGCTTTTCTAATCTAGCTGACAGTATTCGAACCATGAACGCCTAACAGTTACACATGGATGAGGTCAGATTTAATTGCGCATGAAGTCGACATAATTGCTAACATGTTGTCTAAAATGTAATTTCTGCAAGACATGCCATATCTTTTGGTTAATCTCATGGACTTTTTTGATGTCTCAATTGAACTCTTCCTAGAACTGAATAACAGTTACGAGTTAATTTTAATTTAGATTTCGGCTCTCTGATGTTACTTCGCCTGAATTCTTAGTTTCTCACGAAAAGTCCGTCGGCAAAGAGTCTAGCTACCAACACAAACAACAGAGGATGGTGGATTAAGTTTGGTTCATGTGTGATTGTTCAAGGAAGACTAGTTGGTCTCAACTCTAGGAGGAGTATGTTTTATGGGTCAGCCTATCCAAAACGACTAGTCGCTATATGGTAACTTTGAATAAGAGTTCCAGTCAGCCTAGGCCGCGTAAGGTGATGAGGGATTAATAGTTCAATTTTCCTACAATCATATTAGTAGACTGTAACTCCTTGTACAAGGTTCACTGATAGTTTGAAGCATAGTTTATGTGAATAAAAGTAATTTAAAGTATAAAGAGCAAGATGGTGTGGCCTTTTGTGTAGTCGCAGTCTCTTTTCGTTGTATAGAAGTTGTTTGACCTTGTTTTCGCAACATGGTCATATTAGTAGGAAGATTTATAGGAACGCAGCTAGTCCGGAGTCCATTGTATGCAGCATCATTTTCAGAGTAGGACCATGGACGTGGTACATTCCCAAAAGTTTCGCCGGCATCATCAGTGAGTATCGCCATCCTAAGCACCATACGACAACTCGTCAAAGAGACAAGTGAAGCCGATCCCTAGACCAAACGTGTGCTAAACAATTATGGTATCTTCCCTTCTGCTACCGGAAACGCGAATAACCCAGGGCAGAAAAGGAGATACCATGATTGTTTAGCACAAGTTTGGTCAAAGGATCGGTTTCAGTTGTCTCTTTGACGAGTTGTTGTATGGTGTTAAGAATGGCGATACTCACTGACGATGCCGGCGAAACGTTTGGGAATGTACCACTTGCACGGTTCAACTTTGGAAATGATCATACAGACAATGGACTCAGGACTAGGTGCGTTCCTTTAAGTCTTTCTAACATTATAAACATGTTGCGAAAAAAAGTAATTTAGTTGATTGTGGTGGCAAAATATATGTTTGTCTTATCGTCAGTAGCTTTACAAATTTGATACGGTAGAAGCCTGGCCTTTTTTTGAATCCTTTCCACTCGCCTTTTCAAACGAAATGTAAGGTACTCCCAGGAAAATATACCAAAAAAACAATAATACGTCAAATTTTGATGTCACAGGACGGTGACCCAAGGTCTTCTTCGCACAATTTAGCAATCGCAAGTCGTAGGAAATCCCCTCCCCTGTGTCCGATGAGGCCCTTCGACACGCCTTTTCCAGCACATTGAAGTACGCCATCCTCAAGCCTCCCAGCCTCCCTTCATCCACTAACTAAAAGTAAATCAAATTCCATTCGTTTTTTCACGAGTTCAACATGTTTACTGACCAAAAGCATTTTGTAAAACGAGGCTATGTGAAATTGAAATGGAGGAATAAGGTCTACTGATCTGAGGGTATAAGTTAAAGAGTTTTGCAGTGGATAAATAGAGAAAGATGGGTTGATCAAGAGTCAACTGATATGATCCG